GTTTGTGTCCAAGACATGATCTAAATTCGCATTACTATCACACAAGGCTATGTCGTTGTTGAAATTAAACGGATTAAATTTGAGCTGATTTAGTCTATCCATATGTTCCTCTGACAAGTTACTTTTGCTTGCATCTAATACATATTCCTCGTTTGAAAGGGTTTGAAATGGCAGAGTATCATTTAATTAAACAAATTTGGCATATGTCAATATTTTTATTAGCATAATTTGATGATTTTACGCATGAAATATCCGCATGAAAACATTTCCGGCATGCAAGGCATTCTATATGCTTTTGCTGTTTTTCGATAAGCTCAAGGCATGAGGAGCATTTATTTACGATTTGCTGTGGCATTATGGGAATTATTTATATATAAGTTGGTGCTTCTTCTTCGAAATATGGCTGATGTCTCGATTTTGTATGCTCTAAAGAAGCCTCTACAGCAGAGGAGCTTTGTAACCATGCCTTATAGTTTCTATATAGGCAACAAAATATTATATATATTCGTAAACATTGTCGGCAAGACTTCAGTGCGGGTAAAAGTGGGTATATAATTTTTTGCGCAAAGGTCAGATGGGTCAATCGAGCGGCATATAAACCCAAAAACGTTTCTGATGTCTAGCGTTTCTGTTTGGCCCGACAAGTTAAAAATTCTTATGAACGGGGTTTAACCATACAATAATTAATCCTGAGCGGTTTAATAAAAAAGCGACGCGTTATAAGCCACTGGTGGAATTGGTGGAAACCAAGACATTTATGAACGCAGAATATATTGTACTTAAGCTCCGCCCCCTAATGTCCACAATTTCTCGTCATGATCTGCAAAATTTGCATTGCAATATAGCACTTATATATAGATAGCCAAATAAAGAAGTCGAGGCCAGTTTTGCATGCGTAAAGCTTTGCAAGTCAACACATTGCTTCAAAAGCTTTGGATTTCCACTGAAATCAGTACCGATCATGCTGTGAATTTTTCTCGACAATCAGTTACACTGTTTAACACTATGTAAGGTAAGAGATATCGATTACATGATTTAGGAAATAGCATCACAAATTTATAGCCGTATATATTGCACCAGCATGATCATTATATGGGCTACTGTAATGATCGACAGGCTGCGTGTTTTTTATGAGCTGACTCTGACATTAATTCAGAGACTCAGAGTAAGAACAGCATTTGATTCAGACGCCCACTGCGCGACTTCATGAGTCAACATCGTAGGTTTATAGTGACCGCTTTTAACATTGAAGGAAGCTTAAACCAATCGAATTTTAAATTTTAATCGACAGTAAAAGAATGAATCGTGATCAACTATAGTCTAAGTTCTTACTGAACCCGGAATGAATTCGGAATTACAATAAAATTGCCCTGTTTCAACTTCCCAGCTGCGCGAAGTAACTACAACAGCAATCCTTCCACGGTTGAGCAACAACATCATGTACATGCATTTTTTGCTCGAATTGCCTTGTGAATAAATTGAAACTGACGAATTCTAGTTAATTTTGCATAAGGTTAAAGGTTCCAACGCGTCTATATAAATTGTGCTCTTTAATTTAAAAACTTCAATACAAACTCCATGGGATTCTCAAGCATTAAGGGAATGGTTGCATGTATAGCAAGCAATTAAATCAGGCCTGATAATATGAATATTGTATTCTTGTTTATAGATGAAATATGCAGGTTTCATTGCTTTTCTCAACCGTTTTCTTTTTTTCAACTTCATTAAACATTCTATTGTCTTGAAACTATAGAGGATTCTGCGACTAAAACTAGGTTAAATTTTCTTAGAATATTTCGTCTTTCTCCAATATTTTGTTCAAATCCTCGCTCCAAATAAGACAAAATCTCGTTTGCACAGTAAATCTCTTGAAACAAGGCGTGCATTGCGCTTCTACTTTTAAATTTTAAATTAAAGGAGATCTAGAATCTCAAGTTTGGCATTTAAAAATAATCTGTGTTAAATTTGTTTTCCTGAATCCCACACTACAACACATACAGATAGAAAAATCCTTATATAAAATATGCCTTAAAACTAGGTTACCCACAGGACAGTAATGCTGCCTTTGACAGCAAAAGACAAACTACAGGGTGTTGTACGAGTCCTTCAGAAACATCCTATTATTGTTATCCTTGTTAACCCATTTATTGACAGTACCCTACCACTGACTGAGTATTAAAAATCGTCTGGCGTTGGAGAGGGTAAATACTAAAGTAGGGGGTCATTATACTGTGCTGATGGATTAACAAGAGACATTGGCAGATAGATTTGTTAACCCATTTACTGGCAGTACCCTATACCACTGACGAGTAAAATTTTCTGGCGCTGGACAAGGGAAGGGCGCATTGCCAGCTAATGGGCTAAACCACCGTGGTTAAACATATTAAACATAAGATTTGATGCTCCAGGAAATGTAAACAAGCTATCAGTGTGACATCCCAGTTTATATATTTATATACTCGGAATATTGATTTATCGGTATATACAAAATTATTTTAAAGTATAACAACCAGCGAAGAAGTAAGCCACTAACTACCCTGCGCGGCTGTGCGAAGACTATATAATGACATATATATATGTCATTATATAGGCTAGTCTGCGCGCAGGCTAGCCATTAACGTTTCTAGTATGTTTTAAATGTATACATACACAAACGTTTTGCGACAGCCGACCTCTGAACCTTGATAAATAAAGCTGATTATTGCGCGTTCTAAGTCTGTATCATACAGCGTCGATTTCTTACTCCTGCTTAGTTTCTCATGCGAAACAATTATGTTAAGTACATAAATACACAGCGTAGCTATATTAATATGGTTCGGCTCACCACAAACTTTCGTTGAGTGCCGATGTTTATTGTTTAGGACGTAACTCTGCAATATGTTGTTGTTAAAATTCCGAAATGTAATTCGATCCGATATGAAGTCTGCGCCCATGTCGAATATTTCACTCAATAATATATAGACACAATAAATGTTAATGTTATAATATTAACATTAAATGTTGAAAGTAGAGCAAAAACCTTTAATCCTTTATAATAAAGGCTCGCCTTTGAAACCCAGTCCTTTATAATAAAGGCTCGCCTTTGAAACAGCGCTTCGAATTTACAACTTGTCTCGGCAAACACTTGTTCATCAATCATCTCCGAACATCACACGCACGTGAAGGATTAAAGAAGCCGACCGAAGTGCATTATAGTAAAAAATACCGGCGACCATAATGCATCGCGCTTGGTTAAACTTCAGATTTCAACCCCCATATTAAAGTTTAGGTCTGCTGCCTTGCTCGGTCGCTTCAGGAGACCTCGCTGCGGCAGCAATAATTATTAATTAATACCCTTCAGATAAGGCACATGAAAAATGTAGCATCTGGAACGGGCAATAGACCATTAAGTTACTGTAATTTGAAACAAACCATATTAAAGGAAAAAATTCGAAGGTATATGTAACAACAAGGAGGAATTTCGTTCCCGATCAATCATTGCATTTGTTGACATTTTCGCTCTCAGCCAATCAGAATGCGTAATTGGTTACTACTTCCGGTAAAAACAAATATTTGAACAGAAAATTTAGGGTCTTGAATAAAGCTTCAATTGGATTTAACGTGGCAAGGTAAATTAAGACATTTCTAAAAATTTGCCGCTGGGATTTGCGTTTTCCTGCCTAGTTTTAAAGTTATCGGCATTCGAACAGCGACGTATAAAAAGTGCGAAAGTTCGAATGCCGATAATTTTAGAACTAGGCCGAATAAAACGCAAATCCCAACGACAAATGTTTAGAAAATTTCTTATTTTACCTTGTCCTGTTGAATCCAATCAAAAAATTAAAAACCCTGATCCCCTCCAAGTTTAATGTCAGACCCTAAATTTTCTGTTCAAATGTATGTTTTTACCGGTAGTGGGCTTTCTGTGCTCGCAGGGAATTAAACTATCAACAGTAACCAATTACGCATTCTGATTGGCTTAGAGCGAAATTGTCAACAATGGTCGAGAACGAAATTCCTCCTTGTTATATCTAACAGAAAATTAATTATTATTTTTCCGGAGGCCAAATGTTTAGTGAGATGGATTATTACACCTGCAGGTCGTAGTCTCAAGGTTCTCATTGGTCTCAAGGGAAGTGCACTTGCCCTCTTTCAAAATTTTCATGGTGTAGATTTACACTCTGTTGACAGTAGGACCACTTATCCCCCTCTAATCCTCCACGCACTACCTCCGCCCCCCCCCCCCCCCACATGCAAGAAATTCGAGAAAATGCTGGAAAACCAATAAAATTCGGCCAAACATATCGGAAATATATTAAATTGAGGTTCTTCCATCACAACAGCAGTGTGGTAAGCGAGATCTTCGAAAACGTTTAAGTTAAAAAAAGTTTAAAAAGTTAGATTAGGGTTAGGATTAGGGTTGGGGTTAGGGGTTGTGGTTAGGGGTTGGGGTTAGAGGTTGGGGTTAAGGGTTGGAGTTAGGGGTTGGGGTTAGGGGTTAGGGCTAGGGGTTAGGGGTTAGGGGTTAGGGTTAGATGTAACCTGAAGTTCAGGCCCTAATTTGAAATAGGGCCTGACACAAAACCTGTCTAGACCGTGAGACGCCCACATGTTATTTTTAGACACACATACAATATGATTGACAAGTGTTGCAGATTTCGTTACACAAAAAAATTATATTCTCATGAACATGTCCGCAGAGCATTTTGCTTTTTAATTAAACTTAATATAATTAAGAGTCAGTTTCTCTATTTAACCGAACAGGCGAACAGCAAACAAAGATTTAATTAGTCAGTTCTGTGCACGGCTTGACTGCCAAGCTTTCTCAAGGTCTCAACTTGCTGGACGCGGATATACTCTAACGACTAACGGGCTAATAACAGCAACAATTAAATTCTCAATCATACCACGAAGAAGGCGATGTAGCTCAGAAAACAACGCCGGTAGGACCTGATATTAAAAATAAGACTTTTGCCGGCGAAGCAAGTTGGCAGAACATCTTGGCTGTCAACAACAAGCTTTCGAATACAGGACTAGTTTGGTTGTTCTTTCAGCGTCGTGTGTGTCCAAAATTCGTCAAAGATTTTGATGAAGCCCTTTCAAAATACTGTTTGTTTGATTTATTTTCTTCCATAAAGCATAAAAGAAAAGAAATTCGAAGAAATCGATAATGGAATTTGTTACGTGCGTTTGACCTTTACATTAATTCTCGCCTTGACCGAGCTATTTTTAAAACTGTTGTTTATGTGAACTTGCAACCAATCAAAATCCTTCATGATGCTGATCAACCAATCAGATTTCCCGTCCACCAGGTGGACGGGAATCCCACACTTTAGATAGGTTTTGTGTCAGGCCCTATTCTGTGATAGGGCCTGAACTTCAGGTTAGGTTAGATGCCGCGAATTTATCATTATTGATAAATTCGGACGTGTTTAACAATTTACTCATTGATAATAACCGACTAATTATAATAACTGATAATAACCAACTTATTTACTAATTGAGGAGGTTTTCGAGCTGGGTTTCATCAATTTCCAAGACTTCTCATCTTTTCATTTCAGACTTTGGTTTTCCCGAATTTTGTCGACAAGTTTAAATTAATCCAGTTATCTGTTTACGGGTTATAACCTGTATGCACTCCGCGGTACATCAAAGAAAACCGACTCAATTAGTAAATAATAATGGTAATTCACCATTCCGGAAAGTATGTCATTTTGTCTATAGAGCCTCGTTTTCGTGTATGAGAGATCAGTTAAATCTAAGTGTCTCAATCACAAGAACGAGGCTGAGTCATGTGATGTTTTAGCATAATATTACTCAAGTGGTTGTCAATCTTGAAATCTAGATCTTGAGAAAATTCTTCTATACTTCGGTCAATCAACGAAGTGAAGCCTAAAATATACCCGAATTTAACGTTTGCTGACGCCGTTTTCAATGCTCGTACGTCTTCAGACCAACCGCGATACTCAGCTTTAGACGACGTTTCACGCCTGATTTGGCAGAAAGTTTCACGTTTTCGGCGTTTTTGTGCTATAAACATTACTGACGTCGAAGGAATTGAAAAGTACTGTTTTGCACCTGAAAACTTTGAAATCTGAGGCCTCAACAAATGTGATCAAATTGGCTACCAATCAGTCGAAATCACTTGGAAAAACAATAAACAACAACTAAGCAAGTCATTGCAAAAATATTCATGTGCTTACTTACGTAGCATCAAAAAACTTTCTTTCCTTTAATATGTCTTGTTTATTAAAAGTTTGCAGTATAAGTTGGACATTATACAGTATTTCTCACACGTCCCCCTCCCATTCGTCAATGGATCTCCAAGACCACGCTGTGGCTACGCCTCTGGTTACGATCCGGGATCCGCTAACGAGTAACTGAGGCCTGATTGCTAGATAAACTCATAAAGTACATCTATTCTAGGGACAAGATAGAAAAAGATACTGCATGAACTGAGAATTTATATATATTAGCAATCATTCTCAACAAAGTCAGCAGTGATTACGCTTCTGGAAAACTGTACAGCCTGCATGTCCTGCGCACGAGCATGAGCGCCCAGCATTGCCGAGTCAGACCTGGCCAACACCGCCGAAAGACGCATGCGTTAATCTTACATAAATTTGCTTTGCGAACATGGTGTCAAGGGTGTCAAGCATTCCGAAGGTTGTCAAAAACTCAAAATGGAAGCGACAAGGAGCGACTTCGATGTTTTGCCTTTTCTGAGAAAAGGCAAGGGAGAGAATGAATGTGACAACCTAAAAACTAGAAGTAATTACAGTCTACATGTGCAAGAAGTAGTATTATGCAAGAAAAAAAGCAGTGGCCACTGGAGATAATTTTATGGTATATAAAAACTTCTTAACTAAACCATACAAAGATCGATATTTTTCGTAGGTTCATATCTGATCCACATTTTTCTCAATAACTTTTTTGCGTAGAATCACTTTATGACTCACGTGCACTCGGAAGATTTAGAATATTAAGAGCCTTTAGTTATCTTCTTGCGACTCGAGTTGGCCTATTTTACGTCTAAACTTTGGTAATTGATCATTTTGCCCAAAGCGCTCGATACATCCCCGTTTTTAACTTTAAGTTATACTTCTTTATATGCTTTAAATCTTAGAGAACTCATGATTAAGATATAGTCTACCCGTCTTTGTATTTTCTTCGCGGGGGTTCACTTATATCGTGTAAATAAATAGCCATGCTTTTGTTTTCAGTAATGAAATTTAAAATGTTCGCCATTTTTAGTTCTTGTACATGCGCATAGTGAGTCAGCACAAATGCCAAATTGAATGATGTCTTGTCATTGAGTGATATCCGGTGTCCCAATCGTGGGATGAATCTGGAAAGGACAAGGATATATCATATAGGTTGTTCTGTAAATGTTGTGAAGTTGAGCACAAAAATGATGATGGGAAAAACGAAACAATGTGACCCAACACGAAACCAGAGACACTGGAACCATTCGTGCACTGGGTGCAATTACCAGCGTGGTATAAGTTTGTAGTATCTGCAACCAAATTGTGAACACGAATTATAAAAATAACGCAGTAAGAACTTGTATTTTTTATCAATGAAAATGAAGCAATCTGATTGGCTGAGGAGCCTTTCAGAGCGGGTAGATTTTTTTCATCCGGCCCGCTCTGAAACAGGAAAAAATACAAAAATATAAAAATAGCATACCTTTTTCATTGTCGTTTTAGTGTAGAAAAACGTTGATTAAATCAAAACAGATTCATTTTTATATGTTTTTGATCGGATCTTAACATGAACCTGTCGTTGTCAGGAGCAACTGAATTTGTCAAAGCCAAAACGCCAGGCGTAAACGTTTTTATTCCAAAGCTTCTCTGCTACCATATTCATGAAAAAAGCATGTACATTTTTACTGAAACTAAACGTCTTTTTGTGTCTTTCTTGCCAATTTTCTCGAGTTTTCGTATTCGTGTTTTATATGTTTCAAATTTTCAATTTTTTTCAGCCTCGCCTTGAAAATACATAACTGCACTGATCTCAAATTAGTACGCAAGCAACACTGGAATTTTAATGTATTTAATTTTTACATCTGCAGATAAAAATAAACACGTTAATTACCGGCGGCGCCGGTCCGGATGAGAAAAACTGTGCCCTCGGTCTTGATCCGGACCTCGCAGCCGATAAATAACATATATGTATTTTGGCAGAAAGAGTGTATTTTATGGTTAAGTACACGTTAACTTGACCAATCGCATATGAAATAAGATAAAGAATAATTAAAATTGAATAAAATGCGTCTATTTAATACCTGTTTATAGCTATAATGATTCATACAGCTATACCATTGCCCACATTTTTCGAAGTTTGAATATTTTTTGTTGTCTCTTTTCTTTTGGTTTTTCAAATAATATTGTTTCAATTCATCGGAAAAATATTGTAAAACCCGAGCAAAGGCCCAATGTATCTTACAGAAGCCCATGGGATTGCGGAAATTGTAGTGTGCTAGAAACCTGAGCCTGATCAGCGGTAATTACCATTGGAAATACAGACCAGTTGTCATGGAAACGGCTTAAGCAAAGACCGAAATCTGCTATGTTTTTGGCTTCACTTTTTATGCCGAGCACTTTCTGCAGTAATATGCATAGCTCAAAGGGGTCAACCATTGAACTAGGGTCAGCTAAAACAACAAAGAAATAAAACGACTGTGAATGCATGTTATGTAAATGAGTTATTATTATTAGAATATAAGTGGAATATAACGTAATTTGATTGGCTAGTGCGCATGCATTATAACGCCACAATACACGGTCTTGTTTTTTTCATTTTTTCGTTGAGAAAGACCTGAAAAGCTTCACTACATAATTTATAAAAACTGCTTGACATGTCTTCAGTGAATGACAAAAAATTTAGTAAGAATTTCAGCAAATTAAATGAAATCAAAACAACTGCAAATTCGCCGACGAAAACTAATTCGAACTCCACGGTTTTGGTGCCAAATCCGGCTTGTAAGACGCTACAAAACAACAGCAAATTTGTCTCCTTATCAGGGTGGGTCATTTTGGCACAATTTCGCCCAAGTTTATTAAGTTTAATATCCACAATTTTAGTTTTTGTTCATTCGACCGCCTGAAAATTCAGCTCGTCGCTAAGTGATGTTAGCGATGAGTAAAAGCATGCGTGTGATGTCATTGATTTCATGCTAGGAGAATTTCAAAATGGATCTTTAGAAGATAGATAGATAGAAAAACTTTATTTAAACACGCTGACCCCGTCAACCGAAGCTGATTTCCACGGGGGGCGTGTGCAAACTATACAGATACACTAAAAAGCTATTTACAAAATTATATAAGATATATAGTATTAAATAAGTTAAAGTAATTTAGATATATTTACAAATCATTAATCAATCAGTCAATGTGAGTAACGATTTTTTTCCGAAAGGCAGAAAGGGATTTGCTCTCTCTAATTTCTTTTGGAATTGAATTCCATAGGTGTGCTCCGTCATACATGAAACTTTTTTTCATATTATTAGTAACACGCTTCTCTGAGTTCTCTCGTATTCTTCCGGCATTTCCCTTGTGCATTATCACACAACAGATGCACGTAATGAAACAATAGCCGTCCTTTACCATTGACACAGACACTTGAGAAAAAACGCCCTCATTAGCTAATCATATTTGAGTAATTTTGCTCTGTATGAGATTACGACTGAACACAAACGCGTGATTAGAAAATCACAAGTTTGATTTCAGTTCAAAATTACACGACATGCACTCCAATTTCTACTTTATCACTAATACATTATTTTCGAAATCTAAACACTTTTGGAAACCGGAAACAGCATTTAATTATTCTTTGTTTACAAAAGACACTCGCGGTAATCCCTAAAAATTACCGTAGCTTGTAGCAACAGGCAGACAAGTAAAGCTGATCTTTACCTTTTAGTGCAAACTATAGAACCTAGAAGATTACAGTAATATATATTTACAGACATTGGAAGGACAAAACGAGAACACAAGTAAGTAGGAATATACTATAGATTTTACGAATAATTTCAGAAAGTTTAGGCGCGGTGATATGCATCAAACGTCGAAACTACAATCGACCTTTTGCCGGCAAGTTTTTACTTGAAAGTTGACAATTCACTTTGTTTTGCTTTTAAGTAACTTTTGTTTGCATTTTTAGAATGTTTCGTCATAAATTTTGTTGC